ATGAAGAATGCCTTGAAGCAGAAACTCAATAGGGACAAACGAGGCCCTTCCTCCAGAGTTAACTGAGAGAGAAGGCATTTCCTATCTGCAGCATCCTGAATTCTGATTTCTAGCCTTCTAAACTGAGAAAATAAATTCCTGCTTGTTAAAATCACCTATTTGTATTATTTTTGTTAGTAACAATCACTCACATAATAAGTAAGCACTCTACCATTTGCATTAATTCATTTCTACATATGAAATTCAGCTACAATCAGCCAAGTAAGAAAAGTAAGAATTCTTGCAGGCACATTTATTATTATTTCTAACTTTACAACTTATCTACAAGCATTTATAAAAATGTGTCAACTATTTCTATAATATTTTTATAATCTAAAAGTATATGACTGATATGGAAATAAAAATTGTATCAAATAATTTGAGTATTTATATTATAGTCTATCCATAGCAGTTACTAATTGGGGTGTGAATTGCAAGGTCAGCACTTTGAAACTACCAGCTGTTCAGCGGGAGAAAGATGAGGCGTTCTGCTCCCGTAAAGATTTATAGCCCCAGGAACCCTGTACAGGGTCGCTATGAGTCGGAACCGACTCTACAGCACACAGCCACCACCCCATCATTAATTTGAAGAAAATTGTTTCCAGAGTATGCTGTAGGGTTTACTGTGCTCTCCTTTTCTTAATGAAACCAGGAATGGAAATACATTTTGAATGTTTTTGTTTTTTTCAATATTGATAAATCATTTGCTCTAATTCATTGAAATATTCTTGTTAGTGTCTAGGTGGTCTATGTGATATCTACACTGCTTTTTTTTAACATGATGGGACAACTTAGCTTACTTAAATTTTGACTTTTTCATGTTATTGCTGTTAGGTGCCATAGAGTCAGTACCTACTCATAATTGTTGTTGTTGTTGTTTATTTCTCTTTATTTCCATCACACAGAGCCCAGGATCCCTTCATTCCCCCCCGCTTCAGACTCCATTTCTAGTGGTTAAATGATTTTTAAAATATTTAAAAAGCTATAACAAAATAACATCAAAAGATATGGGAAGAAGGAAAGGGAGGGGGGTCCAGGAATCATGAAAGGGCTAGAGAAAAAAGAGCAGAGCAGCCTCTTTCCCACACCCCTACCCAGATTCCAGCCTGGGCAATAGGGAGAACTACCCCTATCCCCTTACCTCTCTAGATACATCCCAGCTGCAGGTGAGGTCAGGGTATGAAAGTGCTGGTGTGTGTGAATGGTGAGGCGGATAGAGGTGGGCTCTTCAGAAGATGGCCCCTCCTCCCCATTCAACCAGGTACCCTCTTCCCCACTCAACCAGGTATGGCATAGAGCCATCAGACTGTACTCTCCTAGCAAGGACCCTGACAGGGTCCCCTTGGGCTAGGCAGCCAGTGCCAACCCCATCACGGGCTCCTCCCCAACTCCCAAATTGAAACACTGCCCAGTTCTGGGCTAACCTCACAATTGTTGCAATGCTTGAGCCCATTGATGCTGCCACTTTGCCAATCCATCTTGCTAGAGGTCTTCCTCTTTCCCTCTTACCCACCACCTTACCAAACATGATATCCTTTTCCAGTGACTAGCCCCTCCTGATAATACGTCAGAAGTATGAGGGACTAAGTCTGGCCCTCCTGACCTCCAAGGAGCACTCTAACTGCACTTCTTCCAACACAGATCTGTTGGTTCTTTTGGCAGCCCATGGTACTTTCAATATTCTCCTCCAACATCATAACTCAAAAGCATCAATTCTACTTTTTGATAGTCTTGGTGAAATGTAGTCTTACATAAATATGCAGAAAGAGTAGCTACCCTGTGTATGTAAGGTGATGCTGCTACATTTAAAGAATTTCCTTGGCCACAGAATTTGCTTTGGGCCACAGTCCCCTGGCCTAAGATGAAGTTCATGTTGGCAAAAAAGACAGATATGTAACAGTATCCAAGCTCTTATACCAAAGTTTCTTGGCCATTTTCTGTGATTACTATTTTTATTATCTTTAAACTTTTTAATTATGAATTGAATGAAGGATCACAGATAAGATCATCAGTTTTACATTCAACAAATCATACACTTTATTTCATTTCAATAATTTCAATCCCCTCCACACAACATCAGTTATCCTGCTTCCTCCCTGTGGTTACCCATGTACAAATATCTTATTTATAGCAAAAGACTATTTTTAAACCAATGATCTTTTCTCTACAGATCTAAGAAACAAATTAGCATAAGAACCATAAGCAAATGAGAATTATGATGCTTGTTTCTGAAATGCCAAAATAAATAACTACTTTCAGATGAAAATTGGTATAGATTGGGTGAAATATTAAACATAGTAAAATACTAAATTTTACAAAACTTATCACAAAAGTAATTATGATCATTATAAACATGTTTAGAAAATACAGGCAATTAAAAATCTCTATTAACATTTCAAGTAAATAACTCCAAACACACGAATGACATGCACATGACAAAAATGAGATTATATTGAACATACTGCTATGACCTCAATTTGTCAACAACAATTATCCATGTTATTAAGTGTTCTTCATTTATTAGAATTAAAGCTGATTTTTCTACATCACTTTAAATGTTTGCACGCCATTCTGTCATATTTAACCAGTATTTTACTGTTATAACATTGAAGAAGTTTCCATATTTTATTCTATAAATACTTCTACAATAAACATGTTTTTAAAAAACAAAAAACCTCACAGCTTAGCAATCTGAAATATTTGGCTTACAATCTTATCAACACTGGGTAATAAAACTTTGGAAATTTCCCCCTACAATTTAGGTGGAAAATAGCATCTTTATGGTTCAATCTGACAATATGCAAACATTACAAGAATTATAAAACCTAAATTTATTATGATAGCCTGTATTTATTACAATGAATTTGGTCATATTTTCCTAAGGATCTGCTCTTTAGGTTCCCAGAATGTGAATTCCACTTACCTTTCACTGCAGATATTTCTACCTCATCAATAGATACCAGCTGAATGATGAAATGCTTATCCTCCTCCAACATAGTATCTTGAAGTGTATGTAATACAATGGTCTTCTGGGACTCAGTCTGCACCAGATCAGAAAATAATAAAATTTCCAGATTCATCAAAGCTAAATTTTAAATGTTCTTATTAGATGACTAAGGAGCTCTGGTAGCGTAGTGGTTACGAATCGGGTTGTGAACTGCAAGGTCAGCAGTTCGAAACTACCAGCTGCTCTGTGGGAGAAAGATGAAGCTTTCTGCTCCCATAATTTACAGACTCGGAAACCCTGTTCAGGGTCTCTATGGGTCGGAACTGACTCAACGGCACTTAACAACAACAACAAAATTAGACAACTAATGTTAATGTCCATTAAGTAACTATTAAATGTGTCTTTTTTGTCTTAAAGAAGCATGGGTTTCTTTTAGAGAGAATTACTATTTAAAAATTAGATCTGACCATAAGTAATATTTAGGCTACTAAATGTTTAACATTTGGAAGTTATGGAATGACATAAAATGGCAGTTAGGATGTAATCACCCCCCTGTTAGAACTGATATGATCAATTACTTAGTTGCAAGGGAATTAGGATGTGATGTCACACTGGGACTAAAATCATAGCCCTGATCTTACAGGAGTTTCTCTGGGGTGTGGCCTTTCATCTTACAAGCGATAAAAGGAGAGAGAAGTGAGTAGAGAAAGAGAGACAACAGTACCATGAGGAAAGCAACCAGAAGGAAAGGCCATCCTTTGGACGTGAGGTTCATATGCTAAGAACCTCCTAGCCCCCGGGGAAAACTGATGGCAAGACACATGAAGATCTTCAAGGAACCCTGGGCCAAAAGATGTTGAAATGAGACAAGGTCCTTTCCCCTGAGTTGACAGAGAGACAAAGCCTTCCCCTAGAGCTGGTGCCCTGAATTTGGACTTCTAGCTTCCTAAGCAGTGACAGAAGAGTTCCAGTGTGGCATTATGGGAAAAGGACTAGACTACTAACAGCAAGGTCTGCAGTTCAAATCTACCAGCCACTCCTTGGAAACCCTACAAAGGGTCATTATGAGCTGAAACAGACTCTACTCTATGGCACTTAACAACAAAAAGCTGTAAGAGAATAAATTTCTGTTTGTTAATGCTATCCAGTTGTAATGTTATGTTATAGCAGCACTAAATAAATAAGATACCCTCAATTTATTGAAAAATTTTAACCATTGAAAATCTAATCTAATATCCACAGACAAATGTAAAAACCTTCCCTAAAAGCCGAGACTGTAAATTCCAATAAGCCAAGTCCCCCCACATCCAAAAAAAAAAAAAAAA